TTTTTTCTTTCACCTGTCCTCCCCTGTGATATCTCTCACCTATCCCGCCATGTCTCAAGCGCCGCCTTTCACCCCCGATAGTGAGTTTGCCGCCCTCGAGACGCCCCGCGTCTCGACGGGCAGTCTGTCTATCACTGCGTTAGCTCGGTTTGAGTTCGAAGCCGGAAAGGCCAATGAGGGAACGAAGATCTTGATGATTGAATGGGAGGACGACGACTTGACCCGATCCTCCGCTGGCGGTGCCTGGCATGTCTCCTGGGAGGGTAAGCAGGCCGTGCTGCCCGCCGACGAACGGACCAACGACCACACCCGTCGCGTATACTTCCTCCTTCCACCGCATGTGACCATCCCTCCCGTCGTCACCTTATCGTATGAACCCCCGACCACGGAGTCGGCTGCCAACAAGCACTCCCTGCAGCTGAACCCCCTGCCGGCCATCTTCCCGCCGGAATTGGGCGCGGACGGGCGGTCCGCCGGCAAGAAGGGTGTCCTGCACACAATCTGGGCGAAGAAACGGTTGCAGTCGCTGGACAAGGAGATTCGGGAGGAATGTCTCACCAACGCGGAGGGGATTGCCCTACACATGGCGCTGCAGGAGAAGGAATGGATCGAGACGAATTTCGGAGTCGGATCGCATGCAGAGTCGCAGAGGAATTCCATCCAGAGTAATCCTGACCCGCGCTACCCCATGGGGCCGACCACGCCCGTCTCACCCGGTAACGGAGGCAAGCTGGGAGAAAAGCTCAAGGGACTGCGGTTACAGACGGGCCAGCGCGACCTGTCTCCCAGGTCAGATGGTGAGATCCCTACTCTACCCGTTTCCATACAGGAGGACACTTCTACTAACACAGCCAGCAACGACAGCGGCCTCCCACCATCTCCTCTCCCCTATGTCCCCCGACGTCGCCGTGTCGTCCTTCACCTCTTTCCATAACGTCCAGCAGCCGACACCTCAGTCCGATGCGCCGGAACCCGTCCGGACGGTGGCGCATTACCCACCGGAGTCAATCCAAGCACAGCAGAACCGCGACGAGAACAACAACGGGTTCGCGTCGATGAGCACGATCGCGCGCACGTCCAGCGCCGACTCGGGCGAGGACCTCTTCGCCAAGGCGCTGAGTCCGCGATCGCCCGATCTCCCGCGGAGTCCGTTTTCCTTTGCGCCGGAGCGGGTGATGTAGTGCAGTTATGATTTCGTTGGCTCATTTCATTCTCTTATGATTCCCCTACAGCGTGTGACGATCGTGAAACGAGACAGTATGTGTACATAGACAGATAGTAGTAGTACAGAGGATATACTACTATGCGAGCACTTTTACCATGACCCACAAATATCAAAACAGATATATCTCACCCAAGCCCGGCCGCACATACCACCCAACACACAGTATAAAAGTAAAGTAAAGTAAAGTAAAGAAGAATTTCCTATAACTCACACACACTCACAACCCAACCCCACCCATCCATCACAACCACCAAACCACCATCACAAACCCCACCTAACAAGACTCAATTCCTCTTCTTAGCCCCACCCTTCCCCTTCGTCACCCCGGAACTAACCCCCTCAGCCTCCCCTTGCCCAGCAGCAGCAGCAGAAGAAGAGGAAGAAGAAGAAGAAGTCTTCTTCCCCTGCATATCCTCGACCTCCTGCGCATCCTTGCGTTCCGCATACCACTGCCCCGCCTGTAAAACCAACACCCCAATCAACACCAGCGCCAGAATCGTATTACTAGCCGCCAAAACCTTCAACGAATCCTCCCGTCCCAAAATCTGGCCCTTCTCCTCCTCATTATTGGCCAAATCCTCGCCATACTTGCCAGCACTCACCAACCTCAACCCCTTGACGATATTCGCAATGTACACCGTAATACCACACATATAGAGCACCAGCGACGCGCCATCAAAGAGCATATTAGACTCGGAGGGCTTATAGAGTTTCAGGATGAGACCGAGAAGGCCGAGGAAGATGACGATGTGGAGGATACGGGGGATTAGCGGCGGCGAGGCGTGGAGGAAGCGGAGGTGAGCTTCGAAGTAGTCGTAGTGGGTTGGGGGGGTGGGGTGGTTGGACCAGAGGATTGGGTAGTCATAGGGAAGGAGGGAGAAGATGATTCCGAGGAAGAAGGCCGTTGCTGTATTTTCTCTTGAGTTAGTAGGTGTTCTTTTTTGGGAGGGGATTTATTGGAGAGCGTACGGCAGACAATGAGGAAGGTCGCGAAGGACCCGGTTCGGAAGGCCATTTTGCCTTTCTTTTTTTCCTTTCCTTTTCTTCTTTTTCTCTCTTTTTTTTGTTTGTTTCTGGTAAAAGGGGTAGAGAGAGAGATGAAAGGGAGGTGAGATTGAGAGGGAGTGTATACGAGAAAGGCAACCCGGAGAGAAGACGAGGTGGTCGCGACTAATTTATTGCGGTTGGTTTGCGTTTTGCCAAGATTGAATTTCCCCAACCAACGGCCCCGGCTTATCGCCGGTTATCAATGGGATTTTGGGGATTGGGTGGATTTGATTTGATAAGAGGATTGATTAGTTAATTAGTTCGTAGTAGATTATTATGAGAAGGGGATATCGATTGTTATTTCGTATTGAATCAGGTGATTGGCGTGGTTTAGATATACTTTTATATTCTTTCTTGAGGTAAGGTGAGGTTGTATGGGCCGAGGTAAGTGTGGTCTGGGGTTACATTGCGATTTAGGGTGTTGAGTTTATTTACGGGGATGGGGAATTGCATGTTGGGGCTTTGTTTTTGGGGGGTTTCTTTCTTGATTGTTTACTTTTCTTGTCTATCTTCGAGATTGATTGGAGTCGTCATTGATATGACATCCTCTGAACCAAGCACCCAATGAATTATTTACACACAATGATGTCCCTTAATATAGGTCTCTCCTAAAAGAAGCCTTCCACGTTTACCATAGTAGAACTAGAATCTATAAACACACTGAAAAGAGTAATTTGGTCTACATCCGCAGTGCCACGGCGCTGAATGTCCAACGCTGATAGCAATAGAACCCCGAGCAAGAAGCCCTAGCTTAGCTTTCAGTAGGTGCTTTGCGAACCACTATCTTCGTACCGGTTAGGACATGGAAAGCCACGAGCTTTTCGCCTTGATGCGAGATAGCGATTGCTGCATCGGTTTTTCAGGAGCGTCTCATGCAGATATAATGTATTGTACAGTTTCAGTCCCTAACAGCCCAGAGCCTCCAGAAGAGATTTATAACGAAGAGGTTGGTTGATGCACGGCAGCAGGCTTTTCAGTCTTGGTCTTCTTGGAGTAGTAGAGACATCCTCCTCAGCCTTACTCTTCTTGGAGTCCTTGGTAGACTCTTTACCGTCTTCAGACTCAGACTCGGACTCGGATTTGTCGCTGTCATTGCCCCCCCCCCCCCCAAAACAACACCACACTAATGTGTCGATGGAATTTCTCATTAAGATATTCATGGAACTTGGGGCTTTCCGTAGTTTCCTTTAGCTGGCTATATGGTTCGTCCTTTACGATATAGCCATATTGTTAGTTAAGTTATCCGCAATGTCCCACCCAGGTATATATTTACTTCGTGTAGGGTCACATATTTTTCGACTTTGACTATGATAGGCAAGTCCCTAATACTCTATCAAGCAGGTAACCGTAGCTGCCCAGTGCAACTTGGCGAGCTAAGGTTGCTGTCGTTACTCCACAAGCGGTCAATAGGTAATCTAATAGATGACGGATAGCCTGATAATCGTCAACACCCTTGAAGGCATTAGTGTTGTCATTCTTGCATGAGATTGAAAGTGAAAGTGAGTTCGTAAACTGAGGGTAATGTTGAGGAGGACCTGTGCTTCTCCCTTCTCAATTGAATAGTCACAACTACCCCTGAGTTCATATTCAAGTCTTATGGGTTCATAGATTTTGCCTTGCTCATGACCGCGTGCTCACTTCTATCAGTAGTGCGTTGGCTGGCAGTCCCGATGGGAAGAATTAGATATCCTCAATTTTTAAGTGACTTTTGTGATGTACCCATTCAGCACTGCAATGGCTAATTCAGTTACTCACATCGCCGACTTTCCCTTTATATGATAGAAGCAACCGAAAACATTAATAAATTCACACATAAATTTAGATATAGTGACCATCTCTTCAGGTTCATCGATGGCTTTTGCGCAGGGATAACTCCAGAATTCTCCATGCACGCAGGACTAGTGTGTATTCTGCATCTTCTCCACATTGCTTAGCGAGTGCCACTATAGTGGAGAGATACGCTGAAGGGGGTCATTTTTCTCTGATATCTGCTAGGGTGTATGCAGTTTCGTCTAATTGCTCCCTTGCTTGATTTGGTAAAATTCTAAAACGTTTCTCCAGTGCAGAACACCAGTCTTCAATATCGTTTGAGCGGACTAAGCCACGTCTTACTATCGAATCTAACTCGCACTTGATGAAGATGGATTTGTTGTATACGGATCATGATATGGAGACCCAATGATCGGTAAATTGACGTCAATCCATTAAGCATGAGAGTCCCTCCTGTGCCGCATATCCTGAATGACTAGAAGATTATCTGCAAAGTTCCACATATATCTCTGTAGACACAAGGGCTGAGTTTTAACCAGGTGACACCTTTGTCACTGGTTACTGTTCTGATAGTCTTCTTAATAACTTTATCCGAGAGGTCTAGTAAAGCGAGAGGGTAGTAGAATATCTTTACTTACTTTCCTCACTTGCCCGTGGCGGGGAGAGTTATACCTTTATCAGTCCACTCTTCGTCGTCGTCCCTGATTAGAATCTCTTTTAAATCATTGCTGTCAGTTCCATCGTCACTATTACTATCACTAATAACATGGCGGCTTGATCGGTACTGACAGCGCAGCGGATAATGAGAACCATTGGCTCATTATCGGGTACCACGAAATCTGTTAGGTCTTCCTGTTCCCTAGGAACTAATCAGTAACTAGCTACGAACTTATTGAAACAATTACTTGTCATCGGTATTTAATCTTCTCTTTTTCCAGTTTTAAAGAGTGGCTGGATGGTTATATTGGAGAAATGGACAAGTTAGGGCTCTGGTATGCACAGTCTAAGGATTATATTAACCTGTCGCCTTTCATCGGCATATTAAGAAGTAACTATGCGGGAAGAAACTTCAGATCCTTTCTAGCCTCGACAGGAATTTGGGATAGAGATAGGTATCTCGAGAGGAAGTAAAAATAGCGTCCCTAAAGGATATGGAAAGTCGTAGATATTGGCTGTATAATTATCATAGCATTTAATATCATCGACACTTAGCTTGTTGGACAGCCTGAAAGGAGATACAGAGAGTATCCTTCTCTCGGAGCCCAATGCTCCACGTTAAAGGTGTCTTCGTCCTCCGATGCATTCTCGGAACCAGTGGTCTCTGTCTTTTATGAGTATTTCCTCGAGTTCCTGCAGAATTTCCATCTTGACAGGTATATCCTCACCCTTGTCGCCGGCATCTTGAAATTCTTGCTGGACCTCGTAAAGTTGTGGTTCTTTGTCCAGCACTGTGGGTGACGTGCTCAAATGGCAACAAAGCCTCAAGGCAACTTAGATTATCAGAGAAACAAAATATCAGCAACAACCAGACAGACAGACACAAGAGCTCTACACCTGTCCACAGGGAAAGACCCGGAATTGCGACGGGCAGTGCTCCGGAACGAGGCTCGTACTAAGCATCCGGCTGCAGTTCGACCATGCGACAGACTAGCCTGTCTTTGATGCTGCACCCTAAAGAGACTTGCAGCAACTTGGTTCGCCTGACTTAGACTGGGATATATCGTATAATCCAATCCTACCGCGGTCACAACAAATCTCTCCGTGTCGTTGAAAAGATAGTTTTGACCGAAGGCACCCCTAGCGCGGGGGTATTTTTGCTCTAGGATCCACGTCTTCGACTTGGCCTGGATTGTCCGTTCCTCGGAGCGAAAGCATGATACATACAGCTGTTCTACCGTTGAACTGCACCCACCTTACCTTGATAGTATTACTGCCAATAATTCGGTCAATAAGGAACCAAGAAATGACTCCTTCACCGTATTGAGATCGGCAGAACCCTTATCCTAGATGAGGTGTGGATATGGCGACGCAGGCAGATCGCCACCCACGCCGCCAGAGGAACACCTAGGCCGAGGCCTAGGCCAAGTAACAATTCCAACTGAGCCATTAAGTCGGAGAGAGATCTGTACACGACCTCAGTAATCTAGAGCGACTTTGAGTGATATATTCCAGAACATGGACTCCCTGAAAGACCCGAACGGAAGATCATCAGAGATGACGATATATTTCCTTAGTCCTCTACTAGACATAAAAACATATAGGCAAGTTTCAACAGTGGCTCGTAACTTGAAATGGATTCGACATCATTAGGCGACACATCTGGTAGTCGCTTTACGGTTTGAAGACCACCGATTCGATTCCAATTCCATCGCCCTACCCTGAGCTTCGACTGTAGATCCTCCAGGGTCACTGACCGTCTATGCTCAGCTACTGTTCGAATTCACGGTCCCAATCATCGAGCATCTAACTTCCCACTCTGATCGTGGTTCAGGCTCAGACGCCGGAGCAGGATCAGGTTGCCAACCTTCAGAGCGGTACCAATGTCTGGGACCAAGCGCGCATCTTGGGAGTTATAATACTACTGCAATGCACACCACGCTTCCTCCCAACTCCCTGAAAAGTATCATACCATCAGGATGCTTCATCCGTCCTGCAGTTTTGTCCCCACAGTTTTCTCCAGGCTTTTTCCCCTTTCATTTTTCCAGTTCTTCATAGCCGCCTTGCTAGTGGCCTCGTGCTGGGTGGCCGAGCGCAAGTTCAAATTGCTCGCAGCAAGCAATGCGCAATGTCTGTGGAGCCATCGCTAGCGAGTCTAAAGCCCCTAAATCTTTATCCTGGAGTAGCTTCTCGATCTTTTCTCCTCTGCCGCTTTCATTTAGAATATCACTGATGGCGTTGGGCAGGCTTTATTGGTATTCCTTTGGGAGACATAGAGCCTTCTCCATTCTTGTTATATCGCCACTCGACAAGTCTCTGATCAGTCGTTTCTGCCATCTCGCTTTCTGTAGTACTTGCCATGATTGGTTGAAGGGGGGGATCTGACTCGGGCCCACAATTAACATGATCCGCTAAATCAAGGTGTACATGTCTAGGATAAAACCATGCAAGGAAGGGGTAATAAGTACTTCGAAGACAAAGCTTTGTACACCCAAATCATTAAATCGAAGAAACGGTGCCCGTTCTTCTCTGCAATACTTGCCCTTTCTCAAGGCCTCGTTGATCTTCTTCATTCCTTTATTCCAAAGTCGTAAGAGGTTGTTGAACCCAATGTTCGTTTCAAGAAGCCTGTCGGCATACCCAATAACTCACCCACGCTCGCACGTATCATCCTAGATTCTAAGGCCTCCGGTGCTTCCACCTGATCTTCCCAGCGTTAGGCGTAGCACAGGTACCCAGTCTGGTACCTGCCCGCGTTCCGCTCAGGTATCGCCGATGTTGTTTAGAGATGTCCAAGAATGCCGTGATCGGGGCTTCGCTTGTTATCTTGTTCTTTAGCAGCCTTTTTAGGGGTCTCCCGCTTCTTTTGGGCGGATCCTTTGTACTGTCCTGATCGTCCGTGATTTTCGCCTTCTTCTGTGGGCAAGCCATCTTCTTGCTTTTTGAACCTGGGGGGCGGCCCCGCTTCTTCACAGGGTCGTCAGGGTTGTTCTATATGGGAGACCCAATGGTTCCCGATATAACGTCGTCGTGCTTTGACAAGCGTTATGGGTAGCCCCACGCACCACTTACAGAATAGAAGCATAATGCCTCCCCCCAAGCTTCCAGACCTCAATAATCGGCTTGTATGCCCGTCTGGGACTAATTGTAATGCATACCTTCACTGTTGTTTTGGGTGTTTCCAAGTATCCTCTCGTATTAATCGCCAGTCGCAAGACTGACTCTGAGGTTCCAACCTCTAACACGACTGTCCAATCAAAGTCGAATCAAAGCTCAAGGTCAAGGGATAATGTTGCGTCATCCGGTCTATTTTCTGCTGGGCCATCTCTGTTTCTGTTGGACCAATTTAACAGATAAAATCCATCAACCCCACTAGGCTTAACAGTAGCCCTAACACCTCCACCCACCAAAGCCGATGGACAATCTAGTTGTCGATCAGATCAATCCCATCACAAAATACTGGATATATGTGAAATGGCCGGTTGAACACAATCCTCGAAGGTTCCCTATAGGCCTACACACACACTCCAAAAGCTCTCGCCAACTGCCAGCTAGCTGCCGTCAAATGTGGCCATTCTTTCTAAGACAGTTCTGCACTCAATTAACCCTCACGCCCCGGGCCCACTCTGCGGACTACCGCCATTAGGTACACTAAGGGCAGACATTCGTTGCAACGACATGTTTCTGGGGTATAATCCCGGTCAACTATCATAGACCAAACTGATAGGCTGGCGATTAGGAGAGTACGGGTATAGCCAATGAAATCTATTCAACATGATTAATCAGTACATCATCAGGACCGGAGATGGGCATCAGGACTAACCACAAATACAGGCCGGCGTGTAGAGGTGACCGGATGTGACATGGTCAGGGCGTCCAGGAAGGTTGTAGACGAGTGTCTTCGTTACGGCCTTGAAGATAGCAGGCCAATCAAAATTGTTCGCCACGGACATTATCTGCATAGTCACCTCGCGATCAAAGGGACCGTCCCGTAGGCTTGCCATCCATCCGTGCAGTAAACCACTGGGAGAATCAATCGGATAGTAACCTGGGCTTAAAATACATGGTAGGGCCTGCTTTCAAGATCTCCATGATACAATCTGCAGTTATATCCTTCATGCGAACTGTTGTAAGGGTCCTGTGAAAGTAACGAAGCCAGAGCTGTAGTATCAAGGTCCTGGATATCATTATCTGTCTCTTCTTCCCCAGGCCCTAAACAGATAAGCTCATTGTCTCGCACAACCCAGCGTGTCAAGTCGGTGTTATCGCATGACCCTTTATCCTCAGTCTCGTCTGCATCGCTGCCTGTGGTCAGTGAAGTCATCTCGATAATGAGCCCTGCCATGGCCTTGTTGTTGAATTTTTTTTTTTTGTTTTTCTGCAGATAGTATGTATTGAAGCTATCGTCGATGATATATCATATACAAGCACAAAGCGACTCTGTCCCAATCTGCAGGACCTGCCAATGGCTTAATTCCGTACTGCTTTTGACGTAGTTGGAGTAAAGAGATGGATGTTTCGACAATGGTGCTGTAGATTAAGACCCGGCATCCGGGGTTTATCGCTTCGTTAAGTAACGGGGATGCAGATGCGATGGTGGAAAGGTCCACACCTAGAACTGCGGTTTTTGACCGGTACTGCCGTCAACATCGAATTCCGTAACACGGTTAGATTGTAGGGCTGGATAATTGCGATCACCCGCCGGTCTGCCATCTGAAATAGCCACGTTGGTAAACAGTCCACATCTCAAGACCAGGAGTTAACCCATAACATGGCGCATGCTGAGGACTCTCGAAAAAAGTCCTCAATTGATAATCCAAGATTCAGAAAATGACAGGACATGAGCATCTCCTGGGCCATGTAACAGCCATTCGTCGGTTTCCCCATCCTTCCCGAGATATAGACGATTCAAATATATATATATTTTAGAACCCACTGGTAATATCACCACAGTCCAAATACTAAAACAGCGGTACTAATGTACTTGTAGATCCATAATCGAGGATCCTCACGATACCTGTCCAAAGTGTACATCCTAGGCCTCATTCTGGGGGTCGAGTTCTTAAGTTCTTCGTCGGTAGCGTCAGCAGCACCACTAAGGGCCAGGACCCAATGAAGAACCCACTGCAGACGAATGAGCCATATGGGTATCCAGCCAGGTTACTAGTATGAAATTCGAGTATATCCCTTGAGTGGATCTTTTCCCTGATTTCCAAGATTGAACAGGTTGATCATTTCTTCACCGTTCGTTACACTTAAGGAAAACTTGCAGGGGACAGAGGTACGGGGTCCATTGATATTCTGGAATCCCTACTGCTGCTGCTCCAAAGGCTGCTGCTCTTGTTGCAGCTGCTGTTATTCCTACTCCTAGAATACCTCTTGCTACTGTCTGCTTTCCTATTATCATGGGTTGGTCGTGACAGGTAACTGGTGACAACTCGGGAAGTTGACCCCCTAGTTTCTGCCAGAAGGAAGATTACTGCACCCTCCTGCAAATTCCTCAAAACTCTTGATCCGGTATTTCTTGGCCGTTTCTGTCTTTTCGAGTATAAGATTGAACTTTCCGAACTCGGTGTGTGTAATGGACTTAACAGCATCATCGCGTTCTCAACGCTTTGACGGGCCTCTATGTCCCGCTCTCCTGAATACTCCGGCAGAGGAAGGAATATAGGGGGAGAGGGGGAATCATAACTGGTGAAGGGGGTAGAGGAGCAGGTACCCTGTGCATGAGTCGACACTACCTAGCTCAGTACTCACCCTTCCCAGTGACTAAGTACGTCTCCCTAACTCAGGAGGCCACTGGGACAATACACCCTGCCAAATGGCGTTTATGTGCCAACGGTATAGACGAGACATGGATGTCTTGTCTGGATCAACAGTGGTTGGTTTCAGTGATTGGTTTCGCCCTTCTACTCATAGTAGATTTATGCACCCACGACAGACAGACTGCCATTTCGAGTAATGCTTTGACTATTGACATTTTTGAAACGTTCCAAGATGTTCAACTACTCAATCGATGTTAGCCTAGCCATCCTTGAATCAGGAGTCAAACACTTACTCAGATACTCAATTCACAGGGTACAGCGAGACTTTTATAATAACAGACAGCATCGTCAGCAAGGTTGCGGAACAATGAGCTCTTGCGTTTGTCTGTTGCCTTTCAAGTGCCAATAAAGTGCTCTCACCAGGAAGCTATAATCCACAATGTCGTCAATGATTTCTGAATCTGACACCGCTGATTAAAGTTCGCCCTGTAGTCTAAACTTGGCTTTGGTATGGTCCTAGATCTCCAGGGACCTTGTATGTTCAGGGCATTGGAAAAACGAGATCGGTATGTTGTCCGATGTTTCACGGTTAGGGTTTGTAAGGAACGTCCCTTTCTTTCCTATGTGAGGGAGGATGGGGTGCTCTTAAGGCCTAGTTCTCTTGGGATGAAGGTGTTGACCTCTCAGCTAGGTTATTATAGGGAGGGTTTTTGATTGAAGTTCGGAGTTGAGTGTAGGGTTTAATATGCAAGGTCACAATAGCTATGGTTGATGTGTAGGTTCTATGGACAGTGTACAACTTGGGTAGATGATGTGGTATGAAGAATCGTGCGAGTAAATCCTACAAGGACAGGTCATATGGACAAAGTATTCCATTAATTCAGGTTCTTCACCTAGGGTATTCGTCGTGAATTATATAAGTGAAGCGTGTAGTCGAACTATCTTTTGTGAAGAAAGCTACCCATACAGGATAGAGACAGTGAAGATGTATGCTATACGATGTATCCACTCCAGAACAGATAGCCTGCCGCTATGCCAAACCTAACGCCGATATCTACTTCCTCTGGGGAAGCCCTGTTCTCAGACAATAAGAAATATAGTATAGGATAAATAGACCTCAAAAATCATGCCAACATGGTGGTATCTCCGGGTTAACCCAACCGTAAATGCAAATAAATCTCATAAAGAAAATCAAAGAGTATCACTATCCCGTCGTGTCGTGCTACCGTTGATAGCGCGGCAATGACTCGTCTCCATGTGCATTGCCACCAACCAGCTGGTGATCCCCTTCGTCGTGGAAGACGGGGGCGCTCGGCCCATCGACGGTATTGCTATGGGAAGGAGCGTTTTCATCAGGTGCACTCGCCTCCATCAGTAACCGTTGTCGCTCGAGCTCGTGCTTGTCATCGCCTGGTGCGGAAGGCTGGCTCATAGTACTGCTGCCTGGTACAACTGTTTGAATTGATTCGGCCGACGTCAACATTTGCGGCACCGTGTTCTCGGTTGGTGTGGGCAAATGATGGTAGCCGTTGATGCGATCATCCTCGGGGAGCACCGGAGCCGTGGGAACATCAGTCGACGGTCCGGCTTCCGCCTCATTCGGCGGTTGACTCGGAAGTAGCATCTGCTCGGCGTGCCGCATGCGTGCCTTTTCGTCTGTCGGTTCTTCCGAATGAGGAGTCGATACAATCTCGCCCAATGACTGGTACTGCGGCTGAGACTCCTCCCCATACTCCGGCCAGAACAGCTCCTGCGGCCCATACTCTTCCGGCGACGGATATTCGGATTCTCCATTGGGCACGGAGTGCTGATCTCCCGGCCAATGCTCGCCATCCCCCTGAGCATGTCCGCCAGAGGACTGCAGGTCCGAACTCCCCGCGGCCGAGGAGGCGCGCCGCGGTTGGTTGTTCCGGCGATGGGAATCCCTTGTCCCAATCACCACCTCAAAGGCGACGGCGACGACACCTTTCTCCCGCCGGATTTGATCGGTGTCTAGGATATTCCCCGCCCAATTTGCCGTGATGGCATTGCTATTGGCATCAATCGCATTCAGGACCTTTCCGCTGGGCGAATAATTACTGCCGGAAGTGACCAAGTTGAACCGCGGCAAGAACCGCTCGGGAGAGGTGAGCTTGCCGCGAAGATCAACGACGACCTCGACATAGTAGCGGAAATTAATCATACTTCCCGGGGTACGCGTGATGGTGGGGAAGGTATCTTCGGGGATGCGGATGGAAGTCTTCACGATCGCCGTTAATGTGGTGGGATCGACCACCAACGGGGCGAACGTCTGCGCCAAGTCTTTCCGGAAGACACTGCTGGTCCGGCTGGTGCCAATCGTCAGACCGCCCAATCCCGTTCGGGATCGCGGATAGATGTCCTCATAAACGGGCTTCTTCCCATTCGCGGAGGACCCAACAGGAATCGATGGATGCAGGTCAATCCGCCCTTGACGGTAGAGTGTGATGATAATCCCATGCGCACTGCGCACCTGTTTGCAATGGTTAATGGTGACTTTGATAGGTAGTGTATCTCCGGGGAGCACGCCCGCGCGCAGAACCTCCGTTTTAGCCGTGATGGTCTTATCTCCTAAGGAGGGCGTGAGACTGCGCGCTTCACTATTTCGCAATCCAGTGCCGGCCGACGAGCTCGGGTCACTTGCGAGCTGGAAGCTGTGACTGCTGTTGCTCAGCCGACTCGACGAGCTGACGTTGCTGGGAGCGGGACTTAACGGAGGGCGGTGATCCGAACCCGCCGCGCCACTGACCGAAGCATCTACCGACGTTGAATCCGGTGCCGCATCCGAGCTCGTCGACTTCGCCTTTGCCTTCGATCGTGTGCGCTTCGAGACCGGCTCCAGGGTCACGACACGGGCTTTCGGTGCGGGAAAGGGAGCAATATCGATATTCTCCATGAGGTTCACGCGGCGGCGGCAAGAAACAGTGGGGTTGATGGTGGTAGGTTTTGTTAGGGTGGACGTAAGCATATATGCAATGGTGCCTCGTTCGAACTAGACGCCGCATCTGTTAGCGAATGGGGGAAACCTGCGCGAGCCACAGTGGATACGCACACTGATGCTACTGGGGAGAGCATATGGCGGAAAGACCATCTCAAAGCGAAACTTGTAGATGCCCTCCTTAAGCCGGCCCTCTCCGCAGAGGACGACCTCGTCCTCGAACAGAGTGGCCAGCCCATTGCCCAAGTATTCCGCCCCTCGGCGCCCGCGCCCAGGCCCGAGAAATCCCACATCTGGGGCCGTCTCCCCAGACGGAACTGTATTCTTAAACACCTTGACATAACCATGTAAAGAAACCACGAGATGTGTAATGCGAAGGGGACGAGCGACGGTAAGGACGACGGTTCCCTTGATCACATCCCCAGGAAAATATGAACGCCAGGGGTCGTCGGGCTCGATGTAGAAGTCAGTAAGGCTGCGATTGCGCTGACCGAGTGACGAGCGAAACTTGTGTAAGAGAGAGCTGCGATTCCGACCGAGCGGCGACGAGGAGGGTTGAGCGGGGGGAGAGTTGACGGACATGACCCACAGTCACACCTCCCTCAGTCCATACACGAGTGGAGGTGCTAGTTGGTAAGAGGAAGAGAGAAAGCGGAAAGAGAAACGAAGAGGGGCGACAAAGAAGGGCAGGATCAGGGAGGGGAGGAATGCAAGACTAGAGTCAACTTCAATATCCACAATATCGAACGACCAACCAGAGACAACGAAATCGGATGAGCGGACAAGCAAGGGGGATAAATGGTGAGCCCGTTATGGCTAAAGGACTGTTCCAAATTCTCCGGTGCAGCCCAGATAAGGCCGTGTAAATGAATCAATGACTGATCGATATTAACAACCAAATGAGACCAATCGATCGCTCGATCAATCAGTCTGCCAGTCGGGAGTTTCGGGCAATCAATCCCACCAGACCCAATGTCAGCGTCGGGCGCAAATGCCGACGGGGAAAACAAACACGCGACCGAGTAATGCTTGTTTTTTTGTCTAGTGCTTCCGTTTTCCGTTTCCCTTGCTTGTCCCTCCAATCTAGGAATTGCACACGCGATAGGGGAACGTCGGAAAAGGGATCCTATGTACAACGACGAGTCGGACGGAGGGGGTTGACGGCAAAGCGACTGAGAGAAAGAGGGGGGGAGAGAGAGGCGCAGGAGAGTCACGAGAGGAGATGACAGGTCCGCATCATTGAGAGAGAAATGGCAAGAGGGTCAAATATCGCCCTCAGCCCCGGAAGTACAGATTGCCGGAAGTGAGGGAGGGAGAGAGAGAGAAGGGGAGAGAAGCAGACGAGACGAGGATTCAATGCGGGATCGTAGGTCGAAGGCCAATGGAAGGAGAGGGCCGGGCAGGTCGGAAAGCGCCCGGTCTGCAGGAGGACTGTCGAGTGATTTGTTGGGATGCACGGCGAGGAGTTTTGGTGGAGTTGAAAAGCGAGGGAAATGAGTTCGCGATAAGCCAGAGGGCGGAGAAGTGGAAAAGCCAACGAATTCGCGTGGCCCGTCAGTCAAGCTTTTGTTCTCATGGGCTTTGAGACTTGGCGCCTCCACACCTGTCGATTTTAGAGTTACGTATAAATAATAACTACCCGTTTATTTGAGTGAGTGAGTGAGTGAGTACAGTATGTATGTATGTGTATCCTCAGTAGACATACATACATCAATACATAAATAAATCGGTTTACTAAATCATTCCCACTCGCGCAATCCTTCCCCTTCCACATAATCCTCCCCGTAACATTCCCTCTGCAACATCTCCATCGCCTCCCGATCGCCTTCGACCACTTTCCTCACAAACCCTTCCAAGACGTAGATATTATCCGTCCACATCTGCGCCTCCCGCTGAAACTCCTGCACCTCATCCTTCATCTCCTGGATCCCCTTGCCCCCATCCATGCTCGCTGACACAGCCAACCACTCCTTCCGTAAGCGCTGACACTCCTTCTTTAACTCCGTATATCCCCGGGTCAACCTCTCTCGCTCACCGGGTTCCAGCGCCTTCTCATCATCCTCGATCGCCCGTTTCCTGACCGCCAATTGTCTGTCCAGTTCCTCGTTACTGCTCCGTACCCGATCCACTTCTTTCTGCAGCTGTTCCACCTTTTGCTCCCGTTCCCTCTTCTCATCCCCACTGAAACACCAGTACCAGTTCCCACTTCCAATCTTCTCCACCCGGATCTGGCCCTCATCAGCCAATTCGTGCAGGTACTCTTTCACTTGCAGGCCGTTGATCGACGCGATCGAGGGGAGCATCTTCTCCAGCTCTTTAAGCGTGTGGCAGGTGCCCGTCGAACGGAGGTGGGAGACAATCCGCGCTTGTTTTTCGGCTTTGGTGAGTTTGCGAGGCTTTTCTTTAATTAGTTTGATGCGGTTGATGGGTTATTGCGTTGTGTTAAGACGGTAAATGATGGGGTTTTGCCTAGAGTAGTGGACGTACCATGGAGTGAGTTATTTAAGGTAGCCTGGGAGGTCGAGATTCGGTAAGTATTAGGTTATTAAGGGTACAACTGATGTCAGTTCGATGGGGGGCTGAGGTTCAGATTACCTCTCAATACCAGTAGAGTAGAAGGACAGAATACGTTCAATCTATAAGACAGTCGATGTCAGGTGCAGTCACCTGGTTCCAATTCCAACTCGTGATCATCTACCTTACATACCCCAGAGAAGAGAGGGAAACCCTAGTCCACATACGCCAAAGCAGTCGCTACATTAATTGCAGGTAGGTTGTATACAACAGAGAATGAATCGAAGTCCCAGAGATCCCCACCGAACAACACCAATTACTAGGTACAATAACCACCATGAAGAGACCATTCTCAAACCTTCGACTCACTCACGCGACCCTGATCCTTCTTTGTATCACTAGTCGGGACGACCTCCTCAACATGCAGTGTATCTACCAGCTCTCGAGCTTTCTCAGTGGCGGCAGCACCGCCGACCATGGCGGTCTCCCCGTCGAAGTATCGAGCGATTTCCTCTAGCGGGGTATTACGTGTCTCAATGTAGAAGAACCAGACCACTACCAGCTCGACGGCAAGCCATACACAGTAGAAGATGTAGTACTTCCAGCCAATGTTATCGAGGGCGATGGGGTTGATGTACTGATTGAAGAAAACTGTCAAGTGTCAGCGACCAGCATACGATGAGAGAATCACGGGTACTTACGCGCGGCATCAATGCAGAGCCACACCATTGTCATACCCTTGGCGCGGATACTGTACGGGAGGATCTCCACCGTGTAACCCACCAGAAGACCCGACCAAGCAATGTTGTAAAACACATAGTAGATGTAAATCATGGCGACCACCGCATTCGCCGCCCCCGACGCCTTGCTGATATCATAGCGAGCGGAGCAGATGGTCCACACGATGAACGCCACCAGCATGCCGGCCGTCGAGGTGAGGAAGAGCCTGCGTCGCCCGATCTTGTCAACAAAGAAGCACATCGTCAAAGCCACGATCAGGTTGAGGATCTGGAGACAGCCGTTGATCAAGTTCTGCTCCACGGAACTGGTGTATCCGACTGATTCAAGAATTTTGGCAATATAGTAGGACACCAGGCCGTTGCCGGACCATTGAGAGAACAGACCGGCCGTGATACAGATGATAAGCCGGTGCCGGTTGCCCTTGGTGCGGATCAGTTCCATCCAGCTGTTGCTTTCGAACTCCTTCTCTAGCCGAATGGTCTCCTTGATCTCGTGCATCTCCAGCTGAACCACTTCGTCCTCTTGGTCGCCATTGGCGTGGCAGTCCGCCAGAACTTTAAGAGCCTGCTCGTGTTTGCCTTTGTAGATGAGGAATCGAGGTGATTCGGGAACAAACCAGATGAAGATGATTTGAAGGACCGACGGCGCAGCCTGGACGATTGTCGGAGCTCTCCAGGACCAGTTGTTCGAAATATTGTTGGTGCCGAAGGTGAGCCACGCCGCGACAATGGCGCCCAAATACCACGTGGCTGTACCTTGTTAATCGAAACGCACAAGAGGACTTGACTTGGGATGCAGAGACACATACTATTATAGATTGTGGTGAAGATGGCACGGTGCTGGGTGTGCACCAGTTCGGTGATCAATAGGGGAGAGGCGCCGTGGGCAATGGCGACGCCGAAACCGATCAGGAATCGAGCTGCCAAAAACATGCCGTAATTGGTACTAATGCTCTGAAGGACAACTCCCAAGATCCTAACGTATTATGAGCACCCGAGCGGTAACTCTGGTCGGGACAAGAACCTACATGACCAAGCAACCGATCAAGATACCCATCCGACGTCCCAGCAGATCAGCAGTGTACGGCACGACTGGTAGAGCTGCTAGGGATCCCAGGGACATGATGGCACTCAGTATTCCCAGAAGAGAGCCACCGGGATGATTGAAGTATTCCTGCCAGGGTTCGAGGGTTTGGAGACCGTTCATCATGGATCCATCGTAACCATTCGTGGCCTTTTCAGGATGCGTGATGAGCAGGAGTTCGCATGATATACTGCTGATGAACCAGGAGAACATACCGCCGTCAGAACCACCATTCCCAGACAGATGTAGGTCTTTCTCATTCCTGGATTCTTCCACCATGTCACCTTGGGGAACTGCCGACCGGCAAGCTCGAAGGTGTCTGAACCCATTGTGCATTCAGTAAAAGGGGTCAGTCGTTTGGCAAATGAGTCTCTACGACCGAGTTGAAGACACACGTTCGTACCCTACAACAGTACATCGCATGCGGGGGGAAGGCCACCTTAAAGAACTACCATATTCTACAGCGTTTCAACCGGTCATTTTCCCGTCTATCATACTTAGACAAACGCTACAGTACATTGTCCGGCTAAACTGCTAGGGACATAGGAAAGCGTGTCCAATGGGGTTTCGCGAGACACGAGGAGATTAGATCGACCGGCAGGTCCCCATAGGGCATGGGGGATCTGGCCTCGAGCTCAATGCCGGCAAGCAAGTGTGCCAGAGCTGTACAGGCTCGGCGGGCCGAAAATAACACAACGTAGAACTAGATGATTCGTCCAAAGGACTCGCCAAGGCGACTGTCGTACGGGATGAGAAGCAAGCACATTGATTTCAGGCTAATTGTTTGGAATGCACCCCAGAAACAAAAAAACAAAAAAAAAAAAAGAGAGGACAATGCCAAAGGAAGTCCGGGGCTGAGGGACCAGTATGGTAGCGGTGGCTCACGTCCGGGGAATTTAAGGACGGCCTAGCGTCCGGTCCTCCAATCGAGACGGGCTTCCAAGCCGGAACGAGTAATGGCCAAGCCTCTAGCTTCTGCCTCTTGAGACTTAAATGATTTTGAGACCATGATTGCCGAGGATATTCGTCAAAAACCAATAAGTGGAAGCCAAGCCAGGTGCCGAAGGATCAAAACCTCCCATGCTTGACCATGGTTAACCGAAGAGGTCAAATACTCCCCACAACTTTCTTTTACAGGAATGGGGGGGTAAATGACTCGTCGTTGCCAGTGTCATTTGACAGGCGATACGCCACAGAATGCCCCAGCTCGTTTCCAAGGGTCATAAGGGGCTGGTCTGTTGGAAGGCATACCCCTATTGGTGGATCAATTGGTTGGGGGTCGAGAACTTTGTAGCGCATCACGAACAGCCAATCTCTTTTTAAACGCCACAAAGGTTCAGATCACGGGGCCAATATATGATCTGATGCCCCGAAAAAAAAGTTAAGCTTGGTATTAATTGCACGGTATATTCATGCACCTGCCACCTGGCACAAGGACTCCGCGGCTCACTCCGCATCAGTCGTAGAGGCTGTCCGGACCAGTCGCGGCTTTTTTGTTCGCTTCTTCTTCTGTTTCCTCACGATCGTCCCTAGTTCGTCCCCCGAGCTTGCCAGAATGCTACTTCGACCAGTATTTGCCCTTTTACGGCCGACGCGCCTCGCAGTCTGGGACTGAGATTGATCTTCTTCGCTTTGTATATCCTCCCCCTCTACCAGGACTAAATCGCCCGTTTGGCCTAGAGATTCCTTCGCCATCTCCTCCATCAGTATGCCCATAGCAATCAGCGCCGTTTCATCCATGCTTTGGTAGTCATCCTGGCCGCGATCAGGCGTCGCGTAATCGTAGTAGTCAGCCGAGTAAGCATGAATAGCTTCTAGCAGGTCGGAACTAGGGAGCGGACGGTCGGACGGAAGCAATTCATGGGCAAAATAAAAGTCGTTCTCCTCGTACCGAATCGGTGCATTTTGCCGACGAAAGAGAACTTCTTCCGGACGGACAGGTCGAAAATTAGAAGACGCCGTGTCACGGTATCGCGAGGTGTAAGGTAGTAGTGGAAGAAAACCGTGTGCATTTATCCGGCCTAGATTCAATCAGAACAATTCTTTTGAAGCCCGGGTTGGTCACCCTAACCAGCTACGGCATCGTAGACAGTTGCTTGTCGCTTCTGTCGTCTGAAAGAGGGCCCCTCGGAATGGTCGTCCTCGTCCTCGGGAGTTTGGAAAGAGTTTTGGCTTGAGTCAAGCGACTTTCTGTGCGACATTGGTGATTTGGCTGCGCCTTTGTATTGCCCATACGCTTACACCCAAGCCTCTAGGAGTACCTATCGCGATTGCACTTCGAGTCGTTTAATGTAATTCTTATCGCCAGACTCGCATCTGTCACTGTCGCTGATCACGTGTTAAACAATAGGTAATTAAGCTGCTGGCGCTGATAAGAAATTTCTCTTATCGCCTTTGACATCCACTAAACCCAATCAGTCGTACAGCTGGCAGATTGAATTTTTGAACGTTTTCGCAGAGGCCGCCTTGAATGTTCGATATTTTGGAGGGTCTCTATCGTAAGGTACCTGTCATCGCCTAGAATTCAAACTTTAGTGATTACATGTAGTCTACTGGACTACTAATTATGCACAACCAATTTTAGAGCCAAAATGCCTCATTCCATATCGAGATCACGTGGTCATTCCTACAGCCGTTTGTACCAAGTTTAAGTTATGAAAATAATAAGACTTGGATGGTCAGATAGACTTGAAATACATGTCTTAATTTAGAGGAATCGAATAACTGTACAAGAGAAATGCATAGCCTCATGGTGAGCTACTCCTGCGTGTACTGTGCATACGTACATATGGCCATATCCTCCCAGCCTATTGACCAAGTCACAGCCCCAGTTTGTGTATGTGTCTGTGGCCACCAGAAGAGGCAGAGTGACATATCCCCTAATTAGTATCGATATTTCAATTTGCCAAGCACTATAAAACGAAATTGGAAAACTTCTCCTTCTGAAACTCCCCAAACAACAACCCCAATTGCGGGGTCCTCCACTGGTCTGAAATAGATATGCACCATTTCCAGACTCTGCAGTATCTCTGCAAATCTGTGGATGTTCTAACAATAGCACAGTTGATCAGGTAGCTTTGCAGAGTGCCCTAACTGATATTGCAACCATTGGTAGGATTTGTAAAATAGCAGAAGTTATAATCAGGTTTAGCAGAGACCAATCGAGGTTAAACATGGCAGTGATCACCCAAGCAGTGAACATACACAGCTCAAGGTTTAAATTGTTAGTAATTTTGGATCTGCATTTTACTTCTACTGTCCCTCTTCAGCTGTTCCAAGGTAGGGCACATTAGTTGCCCGATATGAGGTAAAGGATAACAGTGCAATAGATAAATTACAGTAGATCTCAACTTGATAAGACTGTTGCAATGGATTGTGCCTCACCTATCTATGGTCCCTGTCCCTGTATATCGAGAACTCATTGCTTATTCTCATACTAGTATATACCTTCTTGTTTCTTTCTTTCTTCCCAGATCAAGTACAGAATATCGTCTAATATAAATCAGTTATTTTACCTACATCTTCAGATACATAAAAGGTTCGACCAGGAGGGCTGTGATGGCTCTGCTGATCGTAGAACATATATATTGTGCACCGTCTGGACCTTGTTTGCTACTACCATTTTGTCTGTTTTAATAGAATACGATATCTTATATAGATCAAATATAACAGGAGAAATTATTTTCGTGTTATGATAGCTGAAAACATATTGTGGACTTCAACTCGCTTGGGACAAAAGTACGACACAAGCGCGAGGATCTCCACCAGTAGAACAACTGAACTGCAACCAAGGGGTCAAGCTGCAGCTAGCTATGCACTTACTTAACCGAACAATGTATGCATTTGTATGAGGGTTTTATGTTACATTCCCATGTTGGGCTAATGCAGAAACTATGCACATATATTCAGAGAAGAGGGGAAGTTTAAGCCCAAACAGCCAAAAGCACTCCAAGCCTTGCAGCTATTCAGGATGCAGGAGGTGTGGACAATCCATGTCCCATGATCGCGTTTATACCCAACAATCGAGTGACTCATTGTCACAGCATAGCCAGATCGCATGCCACGTAAGTTGTACCTAGCTTCAGAGAGTCCAGGTTTGTCATTGTGTGAAGGTGTTATCGATTGATGGTATCCATATGAGCCTCCTTGTGTATATATTTACTACAATTCTTCACTTGAATGAAGTCAAATCAAACAAGCCACTCTAATTCTGTGGGAAATTCACTGGGCAATTCTCGACTTTCTTGATATCGTTGGATTTTC